TGTAATTTTTTTTTAAATACATGTAATATATTAAACTGTAAAAGTGTATTAAGCAGATCAAATTAGTATAGCAGTAACTAGTCATATTTTAAAGAAAAATAGTTTTGTTCATTGTTTTTTTTCTATGTTTTTAAATAAAATGATAGGGCAGTGTTTACTTAAGCTTTGTAGCAAAATATCAAACTACCTATATTCCATTACTAATTTTGTATTTACTTACTACTCTAGTATAGCCTGTTTTAAGATAATATCACTGGTAAAAGTCATTAAGATGACCTTTCTAGTAAAAATTACTATAGCCTGTTCCAAGGTAGTGTAGTGGAAAAAACTTTTGTACCCCAGAAATATAATATCCAAGTAATTTTACTTTTCTCCTCGTATTATGATCATTAAATATATAATCAAATCTTATGTATATGTATCCAAATATGTTTCAGACAGTACCAGTCTCTTAATTTTTATGAAATGATCAAATTAAATAACCTACATACATTTGCTTGCCAGGAATTATGGAGAAAGGGAGATAACTGACTTAAAAGTATTCACATCATTATAATCTATGGAATAAGGGAGGTAATAAATGAATTATTGTAAAATTTACTTAGTTCATTGTAAAGTGGATCTAGTCCTTTTTTGAGATTATAACTTTTATTTTTTGCTTCAAAATTGCACATCAATTATATATATGATTATAAAGTAGTATTTAGTCTAAAATTAGATTGTAGGGCTGGTTTTTTGCTTCAAAATGTAGCATGCTAAAATCACAAGTTATAATTTAGCAAATAGTATTTTACACATTATATTTATTATACCTTGTTTTTGCTTTAAAAAGAATGTGACACATTTAATTAAAACATAAATAATATATTATGATAAAGCAATCATTATTTTTATTGCTTTATATTCTTTGTTTTTTTGCTTAAAGTTGGCACAATAAAGATGATCTTAGATTTTCATTTTTTCAATAATCAATATACTTAGTGCTTCTTTTTTATCTTTAAAATACATGCAGGTAGCTTGTTCAACATAACTGTATCAATGCATATAAACTTTTCATTTTTTTTTTTTTGATAAATAAAATAATATAAACTTTAAATACACTTAAGTTAACTGTAAAGAGAATGTTGACTGTTTTGGAAGTCGTAGTTGATTTTCACTATTTTTTCATTACAATCTTACCCTAGTACATGATTTTTTAAGGCATTGATTTTAAAGTGGTTTGGTCTGTAATGAACACATTTTCCCATAGTATTTCAAATATTGATAAAAAAGACATAAAGATATTAATTATCATTTGAATATAGGATATTTCTTGAAACATAATGCTGATAAAAGTTTTTAGTGATTTAGTATGAACATTTATATGAAAATTATAATATTTTGTTCTGCAACAATTTTTTATATGCTATATGTATATGTTAGTGTTCATCCGTGCTGATCTACCGAAATTAAAAACTTCGACAGGAGCGATAGCGACCAGAGAATGTTTCTAATTTCTGTAGAACAACTATGATGAATACTAACGTAAAATACTTGGTGTCAAGCTTTATTTGGCTTCATTAATATTCACTTTATAACATTACGACTAATTTTACGAACAAGGTTCTATGAAGCACTATAAAAGTAGATGGTGACTATTAACAGAATTTGATATAAACTTTTGTTGAAAATTAACACACAGAAATTTTAAGATACACAGCATTTTCATTGGATAACAAAGCTGGACACTATTTAGATACTAGTACTAGTATGTGATTTTGGATTGTATATCTCACACCTGAGATTTATTATTATTCGCTTCTATAAAAAAAATAAGCACATATTTAATCCTATACAAGTTGTTTACTACTTAATTAGAAGGCATAGCATAGAATAGCCATTTGTGAATTTTTTTTTTAAATCTTTATATAGTACATGTATTAACTTTATATTTGAGATTTACATTCATGAATTTTTGAATCTCAGAAGAAGAAAAAAGTATTTGATTTTGTTTGTTTTAACATACCGTGCATCTTTTAACCATTTTTACCTTTTTTTGTTATTTTTCCCCTGTGTATGTGCAATAAAATGTGATACAAAAATTAAAATGTTTGTTCTTTATATTTTGCATTATATATAATAACCATATAATTCAATCTACAACTCTGAATAGTTATTTTCCCTTACATTCCATTCTTGGATTTGGTAACAAAAATTTCCTGCACTTGGCATAGGTAGTGGTGATAGTTTTAAACAGTAAAATTCCAACAATAGCAACATACCATATCAACTTTAATTTACATATTTTGTTATAAAGAAAGCTTCATGTGAATCATAACAACATAATTATATTTGAAAAAAAAAAAAGAAACTTCCGCTGTATTTAAGTGCAGATATACACAAATATGAAAATCAGGATTAACCTGTTATCTCATATAGATGTGTTTTGACAGCTTTTCAGCTATCCCCCTTCTCCCTTGCATCCTCCCCCTTCTTGAGGTCCAAAATAGTGAAAAGATGGTGGTGCCCTATTTTGACCCTAAACACTTGTTTTCATTTGAAGAAATGTTGAAAAAAGTGATTCATTTTCAGCACTGCCCCCCCTTTCAAAAATGTACATCAAGGGGATGCCAGATGGGGATGTGCCCCCTTCTGCTTGGGGGTTTGAAGGGGGCATTGGCCCCCCCCCCCACATCGCCAAGAAAATCTTGGGACTCGTGAGAGGCTAAAATTGGCTAAAGGTCAATCTTAATGGAATGTGTAACCAACATTGAAAAGCCTTTGACTCTATCTTAATCCATTGAGAATTTGCAGCACTTTGAAATCATTGATGGAAAAACTCAATGCAAAATAGTGATTTTTGGCAATCTGAGATGCCCCCCCCCACCCCTTGCCATGGTACATGAAAATTTAAGATTGAGTATGCTGTTATAAAGGCTATGGTCCAGTTAACAGCAGTGCTCAGTTTGATCAGTAATTGAGCTTTTTTATAGTGTCAAAGCAGTTTGAACTTGTAACAAGAGGCTTTTCAATGAAAACAGCCACTGAAAAGTCACTGGTTGCTATGAGAAGAAATTGGTTGCTATGAGAAGTAACTGGTTGCTATGGAAGTCAGTGGTTGTTATTAAAAGTCACTGGTTGCTTTTGAAATGTATGATTGCTATTGAAAGTCAATGGTCACTATTGGAGTCAATGGTTTCTTTGAAAAGTCACTGGTTGCTAAGAGAAGGAAGGGGCCAATTTTCACTCTAGGGCGATAATTTGAATATTTTTTAACAGAAGCTCACCTATGTTTCATGTTAAATACCATAAGGTAGAGCTCTTGTAGTTTTCAAGGAGATTTTTGAAGAATTTACTATATCAGGAAAAGCCCGACCCTGGGACCGGGGCAATTTTGATACAAGGGCTATAATTTGAACACACTACGTGTACTACTAAATAATGTTTCATGTAACAAACTAAGCTTAAGCTCTTGTAGTTCGAGAGAAGAAATTATTTTAAAGTTTTTGCTATATAAATACAAATGTATAAGGAAAATCTATGCTCCTCCAAGTGGGGCAAATCTTGACCTAAGGGCTATAATTTGAACATTTTTTGTAGAGGTCCACCAGACAGTGTTTCATACCAAATATCTAAGCTAAATCCTTTATAGTATAATAAAAGAAGATTTTGTTTTGTTTTTACTATATACATATAAGGAAAATTAATGACCCCCTGAGCAGCGCTTTTATTTGAACAAACTTGGTAGACACCCACTAGAAGATGTTTCATGCTAGATATCTAAGGTCTTTAGGCGTTTTAGAAGGTATTTTTAGTTATATACATATAAGGAAAATCAATGATACCCTGGGGTGGAGCCAATTTTGACATCAGGGCTTTTAACAAAAATATAACAAAAACATATATATATAAAAATATATTTCTACATTATTGTTACTGTACAAAATAAAAATTAATATCAACCTTATCAACCTAAAGAAAATGACTAATTGCATATAGACACATGTTTTGTCATCACAAGAAAATATGTTTTAAAATTATAACAAGAGTTATCGTGCTTAAAACAAGGCCCGGACAATGTAGGAAATAACAAAACAGGTAGATTTCATTAAAGAAAACTAGGACATGCTTATGATTAAGTAAATTACTGACAAATTATGATCCTGAAGACATAATTATATTCAAATGAATATCTTCAGTAGTTTTGAAGATCCATAATGCGCAAAAAACTTTAATGAGGAATATTTGAAGTACACAAGGGGTCATTAGTCAGTAAATTTCAAAAAAGTTAATTGATTTTGACATTGACTTCCAATTATATCTCAAAGCCATACCTGAAGTTACAAGCAAATATCTTTAGTGCTTGATGAGATAAAAAGTTGTACAAAAAGTCACATGTAAAAAGTGAAGAGTAAAGGGGCCTAATATAGACCCTAAAAAAGTGTTTCACCGACACAAAGGTTAGTAGGAAAAATAAGCCACACCATTCTTTGAATAGTCAAGCTCAAGTTATTCCTTTGCATTGACATAATTATATGTAATTGGTCCATATATGTCACCCCTAACAAATAAACAATTCTATGAATGAATGAAATGAATCTTCTAGTTTCATTTACAGCCAGGACTGGGACCATTAAAACTGGACAATCATCAAACCAGGACTGGAAAGTCCCTAAATAACCATGATTTTGTTGTATTGTTTGTTCAATGGTTTTCAATCAATCAGTCACTTATTTATCAATAATAAAATAATTCAATAATATAATTTTAACTTTTACATGTTAATAGTTTTATATCTATACCTGACCTCTTTTACTAGCTGTAATCATTGGAGATATAACAATAGAATATATATGCTGCTGGAATATTGCATATTATGTTAAAAATAATGAAATTAAAGCATATTAAGCATATTTCTTCACTCATTAAAGGGTATAAATCTATATCTTATGAAATATCTTTAAAAGTAAAATTATATTGGTTCCATTATTATATGGTTGATTCCAGAAAAAGTTGTAACATAAAATGTCTCTGTTATCTAATACACATAAAAGATGTAAGTAAACACAATAAAATATTCTGAAACAAAATATTATATTGCTATTTTAAGTAGGGTTTTATCCGTTTAGCAATGACTGTGCATGCACCACTCGCTTTAAGGCAATTTATTGCCATTTTTATTTCATACAAACATTTCTGAAGTGTTTTTTTTTTTTTAAATCCAAACAATAATTTTTGCATCAGATATATATAAGCTTTATACACTTTAAGAGCAGTTGTACAGATTTCTTAGTCAATACATCATCAGCTGGATGAGAAATGGCCTAACCAGATAGTCAATGTTTTTAAACTTTCAATAGAAAGCTCATGTCTGATCCACTGTCATATTCAACAGGCTCCTTTCCTCTGAAAAATAAAGTCAGAAAATCTGTTATGCTTATTATATCCCATTAACAACATTAAATATTTAGAAATATCAATAGCTTTCAATGACTGACTCGGAATTTTTGTGTTCAATTTCAAGTTTCATAATTTTCATTGTCTTATGCACATGACATGACCCAGGTACGTATATTACCTGCATGACCTATACTTTAAAGATTGGAATTTTGCAATGCTTTGCCCAAAATTGGGAAAAAATAATGTTACATATTTGCAATGATATTGTAGACCAATGGAAATCTACATAGTCTTTAGTGGGTAGATTTGCTTTTAGTTAGTTTTCACTTAGTGTTCTGGATAATAATGCTATTTTATGAAAGTTTTAAGTTGAGACATTTTGTTCAAGAACTGGACATACATGTTTTATGTCCAACGTAAATATAACCAAATATTGGCTTTATAATAAAGTAGGCAAAAAAAAGAGAGAAAAAAAAACCTTAAATAATTTCCTTACATTTAAGATACATATATAGCTTCCTCACATGAAGGAATCCAAAGTCCCCGAGTGTGAAGAGACTGGCCTAATGTTACACAGGTGACATAGGCAAAAATGTATTTTAAATTGTTGTTATTATGGATTCCGAACATTTTACATGTTCATCACTTTGAGTATAATAGCGTTAAATCTAAAATGATTCCTGATAAAGGTAGCAAAATGTAAACAAAGTGGTATTTTGATTTCTATACTAATGGTTAAACACAATAATTGCTAACACATAAAGGTAGCAAAAGATTGCTAACTTAAAGAGCCAATGAATAACTTCTTCGACGCTGTTAAAGGACATAACAAAACGCTTTTGAAAAACAAAAATATTACCATTTTTGCAGGCTTCATGGCTTTTTTAATGTGACATTCTGTGCATTTATAAAATAAACTAGCAAACACTAGTTTAACAGGAAATATGTAAATAAAAAATAAAATATAGAAATAGATCAAGATGTTTACCCTCTCAAAGAGTCTTGCATTTGTAACACCTTTTCAGAGTGGCTTTGTCTCCCTCCACATGCAGGATACAACCTTCTCTTATCCCCTAAAATACAAAGTATGACAAATTTATCTAAGTAAGGTTTTTAGCTTTGCTTTACCATTACTTTAATTATAATGTTTAATTTTCTGCCAAATCTAATCTTTATTTTACTTCAGTAGTCATTATTGTTTATGCCCATTTATTCAATAGGGAGAGCAATGGATGAGTAATCCATGGGTGGCTGGTTCGGTCCTCAGGTGAGGCATCATTGTCAGAGACAGTTGATAGCCAAAATTCTATCACTGTAATGTTTCCATTGCATTAACAATGAAATATACTTACTCATTTAAAGGCACATTAGTCCTTAGATATGGATACATTTTTCATTCAGCCTATAGGTAATAAATTAATTTCTTCTATCTAAGTCTTGTTAAATACTTTGATTCTTTGTTGTAGAGAAAATTAAATTGTCTTATTAATGTGCTTTCTTGACAATTCTTGCATAGCAGACTGGCGTTTCCGTGAGTTTTACTTATGCCGGAAATTTCATCTGGCATGGGGGATGCCAGATGAGTCGCGTGTCATACAACGTCATTTTAGCGCACTTTATGAATGAAACGCATTAAAATGACGTCATTTTAGAAGGGAAATATGTGCTTAGGATGATGTCATTTCGTCGTTGTTATTTAAGTTGTAAGTTCATACGCTATTGTAAGAAAATAGTTAGGAATAAAAAGACTTTAATTTCCATGAACATATATCATATTGCGGTAAACCATTTTAAATATAAAATAATATGGCAGAATATGCAAGAAAAAATATCTGACATATGTTTGCATTTCGGATCGGAATATCCGTCCCTCGGGTACCTGCCCATGGGCTGTAACTCGGCAAGCCTTGTTACTGTCCAATAGGTGGGTCCGGCCTCAGGACGGATTTTCCTGTCCGAACCGCAACATATGACAGATATTATTATTCTCAGTGCTTGACAGTAAAAAGAACCTGGATAATGTAGAATTTTCTTAGTTCAAAAAGGGCCATTATTATGTCAAAAATCCATGTTAGAGCTAATGGCCTTGTACATGTTGTACCATGACCTCCTATTATGTTCTCAAAAAAAATTTGTGAAGTTTCAACACACATTCTTGTCAAAAGTTTTGGAGATTATCAACTTGAATGCAAAAACTTATCCAAAGTATGATGCTGATGCACAGGTAAGTACATCAAAAACTTCTGTAACTCCTTCTTTATGTTGTATATAATGCGCAGCAAGTATAAATGATGCTTATATCTTTCAACTACACTAAGAAATTCAATACAAACTCAGATATATAGTAATATGATGTAAACAACTTACTAATACAGAAGGTGAGTCCTCATATTCATGATACTGATTGATCCTTTGCTCCCTTGTCTCCTAAAATGAAATTTTTCTATTTTAAGACAAACCAGCTTTGTATTTAACATAAGTTTTTCATTTTCACCTGGTTTAAAGTCATGTTTTAAGCAAGGTCATGATTTGGTGACATTTCAGCCTTACTTCTGGAGGAACATCTCAGGTTTACTTAGAAATTGTGCATAATTTTAGACACAAGTGGCAGCCTGAGTAGAACCACTGAGCTTGCTGAAGTATACTAACCTTCTTCACATGAAAGAATCCAATGCCCTTTGCAGGATTTGAAACCACTGTGGTGAGTGGCATACTGTTCAAAGTCAATCACCTAAACCACTCTGCCGTGGAGGCCCAAAAATATTTAAATGTCATGGCAATATATTAATCAAAATCAATCATATTAAAATAAAGTAAAATTTTATATTGTGGTAACTGTGTCAAACCTGTGTTAAAGATCACCTCTGAATAAAGATCCCCCTGTGAATAAAGAACATTTTTCAACAACTGTTCATAAATTTAGTAGAACAGAGTACCCCCACATAAAGACCACTTGTCTCTCCTTTAGGTGGACTTTATAACAGGTTTGACTGTACATAGATATACACCTGAAAAATTATTTCTTTGAACAAAATTAAAAATTCAACTTGAACTACACAAAAACTCAATTCTTTCATGTATATGAAATAGTGAAATACATTATCAAAGACACTGGAAGTTTGGCAAATTAAAGTCAGCAGTCTTAAGTAATTACAAGGTGATTTACTGCAATCAAATGTTGCAGTCAATGAGTGGTTTACATCTAAAATTATTTCATGTAGTCTGTGTTTGGTTTACTTAACATGTGAGCTGTTAATAACGACCTACTAAATGTTTCATTCAAATATAACTAATTCATTTGTCATAAAAACCTTAAACTTACCCCCATATGTTTACTGTTGGGATCAGGATCTTGGTAATGGGCGTTAATATTAAAGGGAACCAATCCTAGAGCTTTAAATGAAGGTGGATACACAATCGGCATATCATTGGTCGTGTTGATGCTGACAGTGGCCACATTAGAGCCGGCGCTGGAACCGATATAGGGCATACTGTCATCAAACACTCGCTTACGGATTTCATCAACTATGTTTTCATCATACAAAGTTTTAAGCAAACGGAATGTGTTCCCACCACCTGTAATCATATAGTTTACAAAGAAATTTTGTTATTACAAAAACTGATACAATTGTTATTTTAAGCATGGTCAATACAATCTATAAAACCTGCAGTATTTAGACAGATGGTTTATAAATGATTATCTAGAGTGATAAAAGAAATCACAAATACAAATTCTGGAGGTTAAGGCAATCACTATATGCAACTCCTTGAAAAAATAATACTGTCACCAATGTCCTTCCATGTGAATGCCAACAAATGATCAGATACATTCCACTTTTTAAAATAATTACTCATTCTAGACAAAATAATAACTCATTCTATAAAAAAAAATGTGTGTATAAAACAACAAAGCTATGTTTAGCTGAAATTTCCAGTATTTTTAAAATTTGACATAACACGTAAAGGTCAATGACAGGTCAAGGTCTAAAGTACATTGTAAGTCATGATAAAGCACATTGCATCTAAATTTGAAACAATACTCTTATCCATGAAATATTGTGTGAAAGTATTAAATAGAGCTCTGATCCAGGAGTACATTGTGCAAAATCCTAATCCAAGGAAAATTGTGTTTTAAATGCAATTGCCCTTGCATATAGAATGATTTTATTTGACGGGTATTGGCTAAAAGTCAATTTTGCCCACAGACAGACAGACAAACAAGAAAACAAACAACCATTTATCAATAGATTACAAGTACATAAGGGACACAAGAAGGAGAATTTATTTCTGCAATACTTTAAGAAGACAACTAACAATATAAATGATACATTACTTTAAGACATTATCACTATAATTATTGTTTTATTTTCATATGATTACCAAGTAAGCTATATACATGTAGTTATAACTTACCTATAAATATTGCCTCAGCTTGTCTTACAGCATCTACAGCATTAGGTTTCTCATGTATACTTTCTAAGTTGAAACCTGAAATATATTTTATGATGCTACTTTTACTAAGTTTTAATACTAATATATTATAAGCTTATTAAACCTACAACATTCCTATATAACTTTACTTGAGACCATGTTAATATATATACCATACATGCATCAATTTTAAATAATTCTACTTGGATTCTATTGTCTTTTTGAACTTAAGTTAATATTTTTTTCTTAATTTTGCTAATAAGGCACCATAGAAGGTCAGAACAGAAGGTTATGTTTTCCTTTTCTTAAGAAAAAAATCATTGTGATGCATAATGTCTGACTCTTTCTAAAATGACAAAAACAACTTATTATATACATGTACTTGTACTGTACCTATAGAATTATATGCTGTTCTTGCAATACTTGCATAATGGTCCCGATCATGAAGAGCATATGGTACAAACAACACAGTTTTCACTTTACTGAAATGTAACATTAAATCATTAATTTTTCTCACATAAAAATATGTGACACAATTATTATCTGGCATTGTTTTAATCACATGCTAAATTTTCGGTCCTATGTGTGAAGTAGCAATGGGAGAGCAAGAGGCAGTCTGCCTCACAAAATACATACAAAATATCAGAGCTCTGTTATTCTTCTTGCAGAGGAATTTATCTTGCACTGATTAAAGAATAATGATACTAACTTTCACCAAAGTTTTTATATTTTATTATAACTTTTAAGTTAGCTACCTTAGAGAAATACATATAAGCAGGTCTTGTTTTTTTAAAGTAACACAGGCACTATAATAAAGGTATAGCTTTTTAAACTTTCACTGTCACATTAAGATTTTATGCATAGCATTATTTCCTGAAAGACATATTATACATGTAGTATTGTAAGTTCCATGCAAGTGTAGGTTTTCATTCAGAATTCAATCTTATTAAAGCACATACATACCGGTATATCAAGCCAAATGAACACATGTATCATAAAACAAATACACTTAGCTATCTGCAAATCAGGGATACATGTACAATTATATCCCTGGCCAAATGCACAGGCAGTTGGTAAATTCCTCTGCTCAATAATGATAATAATATCATAAAATCATCTCCCTTTAATAAATAAAGACAAAATTACTTTATATCATTAATTAACATGTATAAGTCAGTAAAGTTGTGAAATCAGTTATTTCATAAAACAATTACCTGAACATTTCAGGTATTTCATGAAACAGTATTTCATTAAATAATTAAGTTCTTGTATTTCATGAAATAACTGATTTTAAAAAACTAACTTTAGGAACTTTTTTCCGTTATAGCCAGTAAATAATTTTAACCTGTATGCTAGATTATTGTGGTTTAAAAATTCCAAGATATTCTTAATTGGCTAATTAGTAAAATAATTTTAACATAAAATTTATTAAAAAAAGATAATGTGATTTTTTTTTGTTCTGGGTCAGAATCCCAATACTAGAGGGTAGATATTGCCAATACACAAAATAGCTTATGTTGGACTCATCAGCTGATAAATGTTGCTGCTTTAAAACTGAAAGTGAAAATTGATTGCAACAATCAGTGACAATTGCACATCTCTTTGGTATAAATAAGTATTTTTCAATAATTTTCAGCCGTGTAAAATACATACTCTGTCAAAAACGACTTTATTTGATCTTTACAGTGGTCTAGATATCCACTTCCATGAAGTGTAGAGTTTGAAATTAGTAATAAACGCCTCATCTTCGTAACAGTCCAAAGTGCTAAGTGACAATTTTCCCCGCCAAATGACAGCCCACCGGAACCTGTACAAGTCTAAATTATTTACATTACCGTTACGATTCCTTATTGGTCATTTTCAGTGAATCAGTTATTTCCCTTTGAAATATTTACACCATTTGTACGACGACGTATTTTAGATCGCGTATATTTTATATTTCAAGTAGAAGCTATTGTTTTAGGATTAATTAAAAGTAAGAAAACATAAAGTAAGTATTTTTAAGACTTTTATGAATTGAATTATAAGACGAGTTGAAAATAGTTTATCATCCGACATGGATCGTCCTAAAGATATCTTACCTGAAATCATGTTAAAGTTATATTATTAAACTATTAAGAATTAACATAAGAATTTACAACTTCTTCCAAAATGACCTCATCAAGGAAATGTCATTTTTTCTCCAAATGCTGGTGCAAAATCTAGTTTACTAGACACTGAAGTAATTAAAGTTCTTGCCTTAAAGATTTAGCACCAGTACACATTGATGTAAATGTTTTTGATTTTCTCGATCAAAAAAGGATTTTGTTTTAAAATAAATGGAAGTCCTTGAAATAACTTATATAAGAAAAAGGAATCAAATGGTTATCAATAGACTGAGAAACTGCATGGATTGTTATGTGTTCAGTAGTAGAAATTAGTTTCTGTAAAATTCCCAATTTTTACCTTTTACAACACAATTTTCCGTAAACCAACAGTGTTGATGGCTTTTCAAAAACTTGAGAAAAATAAAATCCTGTGAACAAAAACATTTGTAGCTCTGAAACACAATTTCAGACACACATAGGAACTTGGATTAGTCAATAGAATGCTAGAAATGATTAATATTTTACTTAAGGCCCATAATTATTAACTCTATAATATTTCAGAACTTTATCTCGGCCAGACAAGTTGTGCCCTTAATGGAGAATGCAGAATCTCACCCGATCGAGGAACTGTCTGGACATCATTCCTCTGAGGCTAGTGATGGAGATCAGGATGACTCTAACAAACATACACTAACTTCTAGACCATCTACATACTTTGATGAAAAAATTCATATTCCAAAAACAGAAAATGTAAGTATTTATATATTATATAAAAGTCAGTCATTTTATGAATTGAATAGCAAACTTTATATTTCAATTATACCAGTAGGTATTGTGCATTGTTTCATCAATTTTACAAGCTGGAGACTTAATCAAAATTAATTAAGGAGAATGTAAATTATTAAGTAATAAGTTACCTAAGTCAGTATAATACATGTATTTAAATAGCTATATTAAAATAGTGATATTTTGTCCTTGCATTAAAGTCAATACAGGCTGCATTACAGTAATTCACCAAATAATGATTTAGCATTAAATATTGGTAAATGATAACATTGAGTTAGTTGGCCTGCCTTCATTGTTAATTTTGGACCAGAACAAGGTAATTTCAGCCAGTGACCACCTCATTAAAAGGCCACTAAAGTTCATCACAGTTTACTTAGGAGAACACTAGAATAGGGATTTGCAGTTCTTGTTTCAAATCTGTTTAAGGCTAAAACAACAGAGTTAGGGATAGAACAGAGTTAGGGAAAGTAATAACATTTGCACTAGTTAGGCAACCTTTATTCCATTATATTTGTTATTTCAATGTTCAGAGTGTACATTGTACTAATACTGTTATGCACCAGAAATACAAACAATTAAAGTCAATAACCAAAAATACAGTACTGCAACTTTGATTTTGGGTTCAGTTTTTGCACATTTTCTCCTATTGTAGCTCTAATTACACTTATTATGGTAGTGACCAGTTAAAGCAATTAATAATAATTTATTATATATACTATTATAGTAGTAATATATTTATGGGAAGGAAATGAATTGTCCCAAAAGTAAATGCTGATTTGATCCAGCATTTTCACTTGTGCATGTTATATAGTATATAATATCATGTACATTATTATATTCAAGTATAAATGTACATAATATAATGATTAAATATATAGATGTTTCATTACTTTTGCATGTAAATGTATGAAATTAAATAATGTGGTATTCCTATTTCTGTATTTATGCCAGTAGTACTAAGTGGAAATTAATATTAGATTGAAATGTAAAATGTCATAACTTTGATTGTAACATAAAGTTAAAATATACAAATATCATATCATTCTGTTTAAATTTATAAAGTATATAAAACATGACTAAGACATATGTTAACATTAATTTAGTTACAACTGTATAGTTTTTATTGAAAGTGTGACTTTAAAAGCAATAAAAACTTTAACCAAGTTAAAAGAGTACATTTTGTGATTGAAAAATAGCACAATCTAAATCAGTTTGAAATTTGCCTTCCATTTTTATTACAAAGTTCATTATGCACCATTCAGTGTTAACCTCCCCATTAGATTTTTAACCCTCTTTTCCCAACCCACACTACGGTAAACAGGGGATACCCGGGGACTTTGACTTTCAGATTTTCAAATAACAAATCAGATGTTTTTTTCAAATATGAATAGGATGTCAAATTTTTTGACTGAATTTTGCAATGTTTTATGTTATTTCTTTTTCCAGACAAGTTTCAGCTTTAAGAAGCTATGGGCATTCACTGGACCTGGGTTTCTGATGAGTATAGCATACCTCGATCCTGGAAATATAGAATCTGACCTTAGATCTGGATCTCTTGCACAATTTAAGGTAAACAATAGATTTTCATAGTTCATGTAGACTTTGGCTAAGAACAGGCACCTTTTTCCAATTCGGTTGTGTAAAAAAGTAACAACTTTGTTTAAGTTTCTCATTTAATTAGACTCCTTTGAAGCAATACTTCTCAAGAATATCCAAAACATTCGTCCTTCATAATATGTTGCTCTGCTGCCTGATTTTAAGTTGTACACTTGAAATGAGATTCATTAATATTTTGTCTTTCTAATGTCTGTTTGGTATATTTTCTAGTTTATCATATCAACTGAAGAAGCCTAATAAAGTGAGACATATTTCAGTAAACTGTGTTGGTTTGTGAATCTTTATATCATAACTTCTCCAATTTTTATCACAACTTCTCATGTAATTTGTTATGTCTGTTGTTCATACAGTATCACAATATTTATATTGAGTAGTTAACTATCTAAAGGCGAGTGGTGACATAGTGGTTATTATATAAGGTGTCTGCCTCTCATCCCTAAGGAATCATGGGGTCAAGCTCTACTAGAGTCATGACCATGTATTCTCATATGACACCAGTACTAGTTAGTTCCAGGAAACAGACTGGAAAGTGATATTAAATATAAGTTGCAAGAAATTCTTTTGTAATGGAGCTTAAGATAAATAAGTTCTAATAAACAGTCTAGAGTCTGGTTAACACCAAGATTTGAGGGGGGGGCGGGGTAAAAATAATCAGAATTGGGTATGGGAGAGTGATTTAGCAATTCCAAGATGGCTGTGTGTAATGGAGTAAAATTGGGGACATCAGAACTTTGCTTTAAATTTGGCAATGTCCACTTTTGATTTAAAGGGCTCTCAATATTGTCTTGCAAGCATTTCAAATTCTTCACAGAAAGATGCAGGGGCATCTTGCAAATCCCACCTAGTTTCAAACTAGCATCAGCTTACATACAAGCAAATAATTACAACACTTAAGACCAGTAAACCAAAGAATGCCTGCCCTGACACATTTGTTAGACATTGTTTTTTGTATAGTATTCAGGGTAGTAATGCACTCATAAATAACAATACCAAGCACGATAATGTTTATTCAGCCTTTATACTTTAATGATGGCAACACATGTGGCATTATTGTTTTTAACTGACTCTTATTTTTTAAAGAGACATTTGAATATGCATTTGACAGATAGATTCATAATTTGTTGTTTAATATATTTAGATTTTGTCATTAAAAGAATATAAAATACATGCATTTGTGTCTCAAACCAATTACATGCTATGTTATAGCTATATTTGTGTTATTCAGGCATTGATTTTTTGTCACAGATGTTTTTTTCCACGCCAATAGCATTTATTGCAATTTAATGATCAGTTTGTAGTTATTTTGTATCTTTTATATTTCACACAGTTGCTATGGTTATTGCTGCTTGCCACCATTCTAGGACTGTTGATGCAGCGGTTATCGGCTAGACTTGGCGTTGTCACGGGGATGCATCTAGCAGAAGTCTGCTGCAGACTGTATCCAAAAGTTCCCAGAATTCTATTGTGGATAATGGTTGAAATAGCTATAATTGGTATGTGAGGGCAGTAGACGAATGGTAACACTGTCTGGGTACAAATCCATTTACCACTACTCCAACTGAAAATTAACTGTCCTTCTAATGAGAATAAAACCTAGGTCATATACAGTGGTTTTTAAACCTTGAATGTTAAACAACTTGTTTCTGGAACGGAGGCATTCCAAATTTATATAAACTGTTGCACAATCCAGTAAGTCACCCATATGGTTTTCTGTGGTGACCAGCCATATGTTTTTTGTGGGGACAGCACATATGTTTTTCTAAGGCAACCGCTGATATGAATTTAAGCTAGAATATTTGAAAAATAAGAAGAACTATCCTTGCCACCCAAGCCTCAGCATCACAGTAACCACTAAACAGTAAATATGAGAAATATAAGCCAACTGGTGTACGATTTTAACAGCCCCTTGTATTTTAATGGTTTTGAAACATGAGGATCTGAAAAGTTACGAATATTTTTTTTTTATAATAGCATTTAAACGCTACGCTTATAGGTCAGCTGTCATTTGGACACTAATATAAGACCACTTATCTAGTCAGTAGTTGCTTGTCCTGTTACATTATGTTTGAGACTGAACTAAGCAGTGGTTTTTTCCAGGATCTGACATGCAGGAAGTCATTGGTACAGCTATAGCCTTCTATCTTCTCTCTAATGGAAGGTAATTTAATCTTGTCTTAAAGCAGCACGCCTCCAGATTGATGCTAATTTTCATGAAATGGTTTTAAATATGTGTTAACGTATAATTATGTGTAGTGACCACAAGAAAGCAATTTACACCTAATTAATTGCGCTTATAACTCATGTAAATTACTAAAATGAGGTTAAAATGTGCAAACAAACCCTTACTGTGTTAGTAACACAGTAGAAATATAGTCATAATATTGAAAAAGTCAGTCATTAACCCCATATAACATGTCAATTATTACTTGAATCTTTAATATTTTTACATTCTTAAAGTCTCAATAATATTTTTAAGTTTGTTTTATTGAAATATTTTGGCTTATCTGGAGGCATGTACAATGTAACTTTAAATTGGTCTTACCTTTTCTTTTGTGGGTGCTACTCTATATTTTGCGGTAACCGTTTTGAAGTTGTTAACTTTTTTTTGGTGTATGGTACCTTTCCTTGAGTGGTTGGTAACTTTTCTGTTAGAAAAGTTGAAAATTCATTCTTATAAATAATGCTTTATTTTTTTTATACATTACTGCAAACATTCACTGTAGCAAAACATTGTACTGTGTAGATTAATCTTGTGATATCTTGATATGTGATATGATCAACCACGATGTTTTATGAAATTTAATAACCTATATAAAATAATGATACTTACGATAATTACATCTATCAATTATGAGTGTATAGTTGTAGAATAGGCCTGAGTGTCTGATTTCAAAGCAGTAACAACAACAACAAACATGCATTAATGTACCATAAAACAAGGCTTATTAATATTTTTTACCATTGTAACATGCTAGCAAATATAGAAATGATATTTTGATGTTGAACCATATCAAGCGGAGATGTAATCTATATGATGCCTGATTTAGTCTAGTGACTTGTCACATCAACATCATATGATGTGTAAACAAATGAGCCGCGCCACTACAAAACCAACATAATTTGCGACCAGCATGGATCCAGACCAGCCTGTGCATCCGCACAGTCTGATCAGGATCCATGCTGTTCGCTTACAAACTCTATTACAAGTAGAGAAACATGCTGGTCGCAAACCCATTATGTTGGTTTTGTCGTGGCACGGCTCAATTTTTTTTGTTACTAATGATTCCGACCCCTGTATATATTACAGAATACCTCTATGGGCAGGAGTGTTAATCACAATAGCTGACACATTTACATTTCTCCTTCTTGACAAATATGGTTTGCGGAAATTGGAAGCTTTCTTTGGCTTCCTTATACTTGTCATGGCAATTTCATTTGGATACGAGGTAATTATGTTTATGTGCATGTGATTTGATGGGCCAATGCAGAAGTGAGTAAAACATGATTGTATAAAGGGACTCAATTGAGGTTAATTGACATAATCATGGGACTAGAAATATTTTGGGGGAATTCATAAATCATTCCATGTGATTCTAGACCAATAACATGTGTGCAAAATGTCAGATCATTCACTCAATTTGTTTTACAGGATAATTGTTATACTAGTGAAAAAATACTTGAACTTTAATTGGGCTAAAAATTGCACAAAAAATTCAGTTTTCTATTTTATTCTGAGTATTTTTTTTATTATCTTTTTCATATCTGCCTAAGTTGATCTTTGTTAGAAATTCAAATTTTATTATAAAAAAAAGTTTGATTCAATGGAGTACCTGTAAGTAGGTTGAAAAAAAAAATAGTTACATGCAAGGTATAATTGTTAAATTTATACATTGAGTGGTCAACATGAAAAAGTGTCTATATATGAACTAAGGAATGTGAGCAAAACATTTCTTTTGTCTGGGTCATGTTTTTCTCGTATAAGTTTATCTACGTATGTATTTCTTAGTGAAGGAATAATGTTTCCTTATAGATTTAAAGAATTCATCATGAACTTTAATATTAAAGGAGACATTTGTGCTAGCCTAGAAGTTAAAGTGGTTTACTTTAACCTTGTGAGACATTAAGCTCTTTCATATCAGGAAGCTATCGAAGCAGCTAGCTTACAGAATTTTAGCAGTTTAACCAAAGTGCAAACTCTTAACCTGTTTGCTTGAAATAATGCATGGATAAACAGCTATAGTTTTCCTTAACTTGTAAAGGTGGAAACCTAACATATGACCTTTTTAAAGTGACCAGATAACAATCCCTTTAGGCTCCAGTTCCCATCTCAAAATCATCATTTATTGTGACATTTAAAAGTTTTTCCTAAAGTAACTTATTTTAGGAGAACCTTGTTTATCCTATATATCTGGAAAAAAAGAGTTACTACCTAGTACATGTATACTGGTACATGTATCATGTACAAAGAAATACCATACACTTTGGGACATTTCAAGTAGAAATTTGAATAAGTAATTTGCTAAATGTCAATGAAACATAGAAATGTAATTCCTTACTAGCAATTTTTTTATCCCTCAGTTGTGAGGGGCAGGTGAATGATACTTGGAAACTATAACAATATAACCACAGCATATCTGCAGGAGCATTTATATTTGAAGAAAAGGAGGGCTATATTGTTCTCAACTCAATGTTAGAGTGCTAGAGGCAGTGTTGGTTTTGGCTTCACCTTCACACTTTGGTTAAGTTTTTGTGTTCAACTTGGTATCTCCAAAACTACTTAAGAAATGGGTTGACACCTCACATGCTTGTTCTCTGCGATCATTTATCTTGATGAACATATATCACATAACAGAGTTATGCCCCTTTTCATACTGTCAAACACTGAGAGTAGTTGAGCATGCTGTCTTACAAAACAGCTCTTGTTTTTATTTTTACAGTATGTGACTGTTGCACCAAACCAGGTTGATTTATTGGAAGGAATGTTCATACCATATTGCAACCATTGTGGCCCCCGACAACTACTACAAGCTGTGGGTGTCATAGGGGCCATTATTATGCCACATAACATGTACCTGCATTCAGCTTTAGTAAAGGTATGATTGTGCATTTTTATTTTATTCATGTACATATTTTTCTAACATGTAGGCCATGTGTCACATGCATTAATACAAGCAGACATGAACAAATCTTTAATTAACTAGGCTGATATAACCCCTTAAAATTGAATATATAGTTTAAATAAAATGATGTATATAATAATTTTATTATTAAACTCTTTTATACACATCATCTTATGAAAATAAAATGATGTATATAATAATTTTATTATTTAACTCTTTTATACACATCATCTTATGATCTTTTTCTTTAATGTCACATCATTACCGTGGACTTCAACTGACAACAGTTTTATAGAAATTTTTACATTTGTTAACGAGCACAAGATTGTGTTTTTGTACAGAATTGTAACAGCTGCATGGTAAATTAAGATAAAATCTTTGATTACAGTTTCTTTATATATCAGCTACCAGATGTTTAGGAAGAGAACCTAGTATGTTAATAAAGAAGCAAGTAATTCTAAAGTATTTCTCATAAAGGGAAGTAAATGCAAAAATTAAATAAATATAATTCCTTTGGTGAAATTTACTATTGTTTTCATGCCCTTAGAATCAATAAATAGGCGAAGGGCGTACTATTTATGTGTTCTGTTGAGTTGTTAGTCTATTTGTGAGCAAGTTTTACCTTGCTCTTTACACTCTGTAAGCTACAGGCTTTATACCTTGGTATTTTATTTCCAGTCAAGAGATGTGGATCGCTCAAGGAAGTCTGAGGTGAAAGAGGCAAACTTTTATTTTTTTATTGAAGCAACAATAGCCTTGTTTGTATCTTTCCTTATCAATGTTTTTGTCGTGGCTGTCTTTGCTGAAGGATTTTATGGAAAGAATTCTACTGTGATTGTAAGAAAATACTTGATACATATTTTTTCATGTTTGTATTTTTGTCTTAATAACACTGCAGATTTGCAATGAATCAGAAAAAGAATGAGGATTGGGTTAAAAATGATGGTAGAGCTTGTTTGACTGGTTTTCACCCTAATTTCTACAAATTTCTACTAATTTCTACTAATTTCTACTAATTTCTGCACATTTTTGGCAATAACCTGGCTGTAGGTCCACTTACCATAACTAGATTTTCTAGACAACTAACCAGTCTTAATAACTCTTTGCAATGAATAAGAAAATATGACAAGGATTGGGTTAAAAATGATGGGTTTTTTTTTCTTGTATATCCATAATGCATTTTATTGTCATACAACACTAAAATACAGGTTATATTTTTGTTAAAAGCATAACAAACCAAGTAATATTACAAATAATTTCCTCAAGGTTCTACATGTATGTATCTTAGGTTCTTTTTTATGATAATAACCAAATGCTAACCATGTGTTGTTTCTATTTTCAGTATGAAAATTGTAAAAGTAGCAATAATCCTCATGCAGAAATTTTTAATGTGAGTTCATTTGATTTTTCCCAATCTTTATAATTATCTAATGGACCTTTCCAGTGTTTACAGTTTTATGTAAATTGGCTAACTTGTTATCCAATTGCTACACTGAGATAATATATATTCACTGGTTGATCTGCTTTGCACAAGAGAACACATGGTTATGTTTGTGATACTGTTTGTGAGCAGTTGACCTAGCAATGAATGGAAAAGGTGTGGCTAAATGTTTCGCATGAAAAACCGGAAAGGTCCATTGATCTTAGTGGTAAGGTTGTTTGACTGGTTTTCATGCCAATCTTAATGCATTTTTAGCCATATCTTGTCAGTCCACCTAACCCAGGCTTTACAGTTAATACCAATTTCTCAGCAAGTGACTAAGTATTAATCCCACATTAGAGACAATTTCCATGTCAGACTTAATGTCTGAGATCAAATTTGAGAAATTTCGCCTCACCTGAGGATTGAACCATCAATCCCTTGATTAAAAATTTGATTTTCTCTCTCTCTCGAGCTAGGGAGATGGAATTTGGCTTAGCTTGCCTACCCAACACATAAATGCAGTTTGAATCTTCTGTTGTTATTGTTACCCTATTTTTGGCTGTTGAATATAAATTGTGTAATTTCTAATATCAACTTAAATTAAAGGTTGCAAATGGCAAGTCCAAATTTCAAGTTGTCAAGTTTTGAGAAAAAATACAAAGGGTAACAATAAACCCTGTAGTCTTTTTGTTTTTAGAGTTATTAAAAAGTTGAATTACTTTGTTAAAGTTTATATCATATTGAAAGTCATGGTTTTTCTTCTTGCCAATGTTTGATAAATTATTGTTTATTTTTCAGACAAATACATCAGAGGTAGAAGTAGACATTTTTAAAGGTGTAAGTATATGCATTATACTTTATACATCACTGGTTTCTTGACCTTGCAGAGAAATCTTTTTTTTTTTGGTCAGGTTTTAAGTCACGCCAACACAGTATAGCTTGTATGGTGACATTTCCAGCTTTACTGGTAGATGAAGACCTTAAGGTCTATCTTAATTGCCCCTCTGGGCATTATTTTAGACACACACAAGCACCTGAGTGGAACCACTGATGTTTCATAAGCTAATGGATAGTTTCCTCAAATAAAAAAAAAACTTTATTCCCTGGTGGGATTTGAACCCACAGCCGTATTACCGTATTACAGAGCAGAAAGCGGTTTGAAGTCAACGGCCTTAACCACTAGACTATGAACACCCCAAGAAATAATTTTAATTATAAGCTATTCAGCAAAAGGTTTTTAATTACTTTAGTGAAATTAGATTGATTTCCCTTTATGTTACATTTATATATAATACAGGACTTTTAAGTATGATATAAATGATATTGGATTTTTACTTGTCTTATGTTAAAAACTGTAACTAGAATTTGCTTGTTTGTCTCAGTAAGAGACAGGTTATTTTTTTTTTTTGAACCACAGATTTGACCAAAAAATTTGACCTGGCATTTGTCAAAAGATTTGCCACCATAAATTTGATTTTGAATTAGTCCAGAGATTTTGCCATAAATTTGATCTTGAATTAGTCCATAGATTTGACCTTGAATGAGTCTGTAGATTTGATCATAAATTGATCTTTAATCAGTCCAAAGATTTTACCATATATTTGTGTGTGTTTTAAAATGTTACAAATGTCGGTGTGATAGGAAGTTTATAGATTCCACCTTGGAATTTGGTTGGGAAGGTTTGCTTAACAAAGTGATACTTCCACTGAAATTTGGAGTCAAGAGATAGTAAAAGAATCTACCATTATGTAATCAATGCAATAGTGGACTATTTTCCAGTTGGATTTTTTTAGAGGGATTTTGTCCTAGTTGGCTATTGTTTTAGACTCAATGTTGACCCTTTCCTAGCTCAGTGACTTGATATCAATGGCTCTGGAATATTTTACATTTAAGGAAAATCTTTGTAACTAACAATCCATATTAGATTTATATACGTGTAGGCTCAAATATATAGTGTACTGTATGTTTTTCCAGGGTGTTTTTCTTGGTTGCGAGTTTGGTGTAGCAGCTATGTATATCTGGGCTGTAGGTATTCTTGCTGCTGGTCAAAGTTCAACCATGACTGGGACATACACTGGACAATTTGTCATGGAGGTATTATAGACATGCTTCTTATCTTATCCTGTAAACTATTATGTTATTGTAATTCATCACCTTACTGCAGTAACAGGTTAACACATACTAAATTTCAATAATGTTAATCATGTTACTGCACTAAGATAATGGTATGGCAGAAAACATCATATTCAACCATAGTTAATCATTTATATACCTTTACTTCTTGTTAGTGTAATTTGAATATATCTTTGGCAACAACTGCAGCATCTTGAATAAAAGATCTTCTTATCAAGTCATGATCAAAGATTGTTGTTTTTTTAGCCAAATTTTAGGTTTATGTGGGTCATAAATATATTTACTGAATTTCCTCCAAAATGTCACACAGTTCATGCAGATGAAGAAACAATTAAGATAACTTTTCACTTTCTTCACAATGAAGCTTCTTGTTTTCATTTTCAGTTATAATTTTTAGTCACTTTAACACTGTAAATGGTCATATGGAAAATTTCCTTCATCGACCTTAGGAACCTTTTGCAACATTATTTCAGCTGTTACTTTGTCATCAATTTCCTGGAAAGATAACCCAATACCCACAGCAGTGGGAAAGCAGGGATTATAAATTTACTTGAAGTCAGTGACCTTAACCACCCAGTGACAGAGACCACTTAATCAAACACATGTACTTATAATGGCTTTATCTGAGCATTTATTCAAATAAACAATGTTTAGCATAGTGTAATGTAAGTTTTTTTTTTCTGATTTTGAATCCTATGGTTTTTTTCTGTAATATTGTACTTGAATGAAATGAATGTTTGGATATGTTTATACAGGGTTTTCTAGACTTAAAATGGAAGAGATGGCAACGAGTGTTGTTGACACGGTCAATTGCAATATTACCCACAATCCTGCTGGCAGTATTTGAGGGTATTGAGGATCTGACGTACATGAACGACCTGCTTAATGTGATCATGAGCTTACAGCTTCCTTTTGCCTTAATTCCGGTGCTCACCTTTACCAGTGCCAAAAATCTCATGGGATCCTTTGTTAATGGAATGTAAGACAAAAAATTTAAAACCTTTTATATTTGCCCTATCTAAAATTTGAAACAGTCCATTTTTGAAATTAAAATGACATTATGCCCATCCAAGTGAATTTAATGAGTGTAAAAGTGAAAGGTGTCAATATTTAGAAATATATTTTGCTAATTTCAAAGCTATATGAGTATACAGTTATATTTTCAAATATTTTAGATTGGTCATTTTCTTTTTAAATTCCATGCAATCCATAAATACAATGGTAAGATATTGTGAGAGACAGATATGACATTTGAACACTGTGAATGGCTAAAGTATCACATGCCCATGCCACTTTTTCAACTCTAAAAATGGTATTGCATAGCCTTGCATATGTTTTTATGTTACATTAATTTGAAGCATGCATAAATATTTGCTTAATGTTAGCATTACACCTTGAGCTTATCAATAAAAAAGTGATCTTTTTTTATTAACAGTTCTTATCTTATTTTAGGTATATGATATAATAGAATGTTATATTTGTGTAAGTTCATTTACAATCTACAATATTTTGTTTAAAAATAGTACATCAAAGGCCATTTATCTTGATAAGTATCTGTTTAAGATATTTAACATGTGGAGCATTAATGGCAACTGTTTGATTTAAATACTGAACATACCAAAGACAATATTACTAATATTTTTTTTAAAAAATGTAAGAATACAGTTATAATATAAAAGTGTGCAGAAAATGACAGTTGAATTTTGATTTATTTATTTCAGTGTAATGAAGACTATAGCTTGCCTTCTCACTGTGGTGGTGATAGGTATTAATATGTTCTTTGTGGTAGTGTTCATTCAAGGTCTACCTTCACACTGGGCTATATATCTGGGCATCTCAGTACTGGTCTTTGCATATCTACTCTTTGTGATCTATCTGGTAAGTATAAGTACTGGTTTATTCATATTTACTGTTCTTGATTTATCTGGTAAGTATAAATATCTTAACCCCAGTCCTGCTGAATTTCTTTAATAAACTTGTCCAGCTTCCATTTTTGGAACTGTAAACACACAGTACATCCTGCAAAGTGGTCACCTGTAGAACAGTTAACCATTTAAATCAAGATAGTTTTTTTTTCCTTCAAAAGTAAAACTCCACAATAACCTCACCAGAGCCACACCCCTTAGATACAACTGAAGTGTGTGCCTCAAAAGGGTATTGCTGTACAGAGATTGTTGTGTTCTATCTTAGCCTGACAATGGAAAGTTCTTTTCCTGGAATTACCAGTACTGGTATCATGTGAAGAGGCATGGGTGTGGTAAAAAGGAAAGGTGAAATCCATTATCTCAGAGTTTAACATCAGCAGTCTTATCTCAATCATGAGTGATATTAAATTCAAAACTAAGTACAGGCCTGAATTTTTAGCTCACCTGTCACAAAGTGACAGGGTGAACTTTTGTGATCGCTTTTCGTCTGGCGTCCGTCCGTCCGTCCGTAAACTTTTGCTTTAAATGACATCTCCTCATAAACCACTGAGCCAATTTCATCCAAACTTCACATGAATGTTCCTTTGGTGGTCACCTTTAAAAATTGCTCAAAGAATTTAATTCCATGCAGAACTCTGGTTGCCATGGCAACCGAAAGAAAAATCTTTAAATATCTTCTTTTAAACAACCCTAAGAGCTAGAGCTTAGATATTTGGCATGAATCATCTTCTAATGAGTGTCTACCAAGTTTGTTCAAATAAAAGCCCTGGGGTCAAAATTAGCCCCGCCCCAGGGGGTCATTGATTTTCCCTATATGCATATAGTAAAAACTTAAAAAATCTTCTTTTAAAGAACCCAAAGAGCTAGAGCTAAGATATTTGTCATGAAACATCTTCTAGTGAGTGTCTACCAAGTTTGTTCAAATAAAAGCCCTGGGGTCAAAATTGGCCCCGCCCCGGGGGGTCATTGATTTTCCCTATATGCATATAGTAAAAACTTAAAAAATCTTCTTTTAAAGAACTGTAAGAGCTAGAGCTTAGATATTTGGCATGAAACATCTTCTAGTGCATGTCTACCAAGTTTGTTCAAATAAAAGCCCTGGGGTCAAAATTGGCCCCGCCCCAGGGGGTCATTGATTTTCCCTATATGCATATAGTAAAAACTTAAAAAATCTTCTTTTAAAGAACCCAAAGAGCTAGAGCTAAGATATTTAGCATGAAACATCTTCTAATGAGTGTCTACCAAGTTTGTTCAAATAAAAGCCCTGAGGTCAAAATTGGCCCTGCCCCAGGGGGTCATAGATTTTCCCTATATGCATATAGTAAAAACTTAAAAAATCTTCTTTTAAAGAACCCAAAGAGCTAGAGCTAAGATATTTGGCATGAAACATCTTCTAGTGAGTGTCTACCAAGTTTGTTCAAATAAAAGCCCTGGGGTCAAAATTGGCCCCGCCCCGGGGGGTCATTGATTTTCCCTATATGCATAAATTAAAAACTTAAAAAATCTTCTTTTAAAGAACTGTAAGAGCTAGAGCTTAGATATTTGGCATGAAACATCTTCTAGTGAATGTCTACCAAGTTTGTTCAAATAAAAGCCCTGGGGTCAAAATTGGCCCTGCCCCAGGGGGTCATTGATTTTCCCTATATGCATATAGTAAAAACTTAAAAAATCTTCTTTTAAAGAACCCAAAGAGCTAGAGCTTAGATATTTAGCATAAAACATGCACTAATGGGTGTCTACCAAGTATGTGCAAATAAAAGCCCTGGGGTCAAAACTGGCCCCGCCCCAGGGGGTCATTGATTTTCCTTATACATGTATGTGTATAGCAAAAACTTAAAAATCTTCTTTGAAAAAACCCAAATAGCTAGAGTTTAGATATTAAGCATGAAACATCTTTAAGTAAATATCTACAAAGTTTGTTCAAATGAAAATTGGCCCCCCCAGGGGGTCATAGATTTTCCCTATATGCATATAGTAAAAACTTAAAAAAATCTTCTTTTAAAAAACCCAATGAGCTAGAACTTAGATGTTTAGCATGAAACATCTTCTTACGGGTGTCTACCAAGTCTGTTCAAATAAACAAATAAAAGCCCTTGGGTAAAAATTGGCCCGGGGGGGGATGGGGGGGGGGCTATATACAGGTGAGCTACCTCAGGGCCATCATGGCCCTCTTGTTAAATTGCTTTCAGGTACTTTTCTTTTCCTTTACTAGTTGTCTTTAGGTCCATTGGTTACAATAGAAATGATCAATCATTGTTGCTAATGGAAAAAAGCTGTTCACCAATAAGCAATCAAATGTTAATGTAAAATGTGTAAATTACCTTTGATGCTTGTACCGTCATCCCTGCATAACATCATCCAAAATAGTAAATAGTGTTTGTGTTAAATATTAGTACATTTTCACCTTTGTTGAAATGAAAATATTTTAGGACAATTAGGAGAAAATGTTTTATTTCTTTGACCAGTCAGAATGTTCAAGACATTATGGCGTGTGTTTGAATTTTTACATTCACCATTCCTTTTAAATGACTGAATATGATAAAATATATACTGTTTTTCATAAACTTCAAGGTCACACTGTAAATATTGATTATATACTCATGTTTTAGCTTGCCTTTTCAAAGAACAGGGAGAGCTTAGAGTTTACTTACTTGAATGTCTGCATTTGCATCACACTTAAGTTTTTTAACCAAGTTAGTATTTCTAAAACTATTGACGAAAATGGGTTGAAACTTCACACACTTTTTTTCTGCGATTATCTTACATGATTACATCCATAATTCTGAGCTACAGAGTTATGCCCCTTTTCTTACTGTCAAGCAATGAGAATATTCAAGTGCATTGTCTTACAGGCAACTCTTGTTTATTGATAAAATGCACAAAGAAGGGTTATTCATATCAGTTTATAAAAAAAGAGGATTAAAAAAAGACAACTGGCAATAAACTATTTGCAATGATCTTTCTGATTTATTTGCAGGCATGGTATTGTTTAATTGTTATGGGTTGTAACAGTTTAGAGAAAATACCCGTAAGTATCTTTATTATACCATATGTCTAAAATACTTAAGGTTTATAGCGTATAGGTTGTTAAAAGATAAGATTACTAAAGCAAAGGCACACAACTAATAGTTAAAGCTTTCAAATGTGTCAAATTCAGTTTGTTTACTTGGTTATTGCACTCAAACACTTTGAAAATGCAGGCTGGTCACCATTTTTAAATTCAAGTTCTACTTATGCCTGCAGCGCTTGGAGGCATGGATGGTATCTTGTATTTGCTATTGTCATCCATGAACAGACCCTATCTCAGTCTACAACATTTTAGTTACGTCATGCAGGCTGACTTTTACAGTTTTACTGATACTTTTTTCAAAGTGTTTCAGTGTATTATTATAGTATAATAATGTTTGATATCCATTTCTTGAAATTTTCACTAGAATTGCCAGTGCAAATGTAAAAGATACAGCAAAGAGCATAGCAGAACAGATCATAAGTTTAAACATATTAAATTCAGAATTTTATTACGTTGTAAGAGATAACATTAGATACTGAGTAGATTGAGTAACAAATACAATTTCTGTTTTGCTCTAATAATGTAGAAAATGCTAGCGGATAAGAGTTGGGTCACTAACTTCAAAATCTAATGACCATCACCACTGTAGGTTTGAATCTTGTGGAAGTTGTACTGCTTATGAATGAATTAATGCCATTAAATGTACTTTTTGTGTCGCCTTGAAAAGGTGACATATAGGGGTTACTTTTGTCGGCGGCGTCGGCGGCGTCTGTGTCGGCATCGGCGTCGTTGTCGGCGTCGTCGGCGGCGTCCCCTAAAGCTTGTCCGGAGCATAACTCAGTCACTATAAGTCTGATTGACTTCAAACTTGGTATGCATGCTTCTTTCAATAACCCGAAGTGCAGTGCACAAGGACCGGTACTCTGCAGTTCTTATTTTTTGAGTTATTGCCCTTTGTTAATTTTCACACTTTAATTTTGTCCGGGCCATTTCTCTTCAACTAAAAAAGCTATGGACTTGAAACTTCATAGGATGATAGATCTCATTAAGAAGAAGTGCAGTGCATAAGAACCGGTACTCTGCACTTCCTAATTTTTGAGTTATTGCCCTTTGTTAATTTTCATACTTTATTTTTGTCCAGGCCATTTCTCCTAATGTATAAAAGCCATGGACTTGAAACTTCATAGGATGATAGGTCTCATTAAGAAGAAGTGCAGTGAACAAGAACAGGTACTCTGCATTTCTTATTTTTTGAGTTATTGCCCTTTGTTTATTTTCGTACTTTAATTTTGTCCGGGCCATTTCTCCTTAAGTATAACAGCTATGGACTTGAAACTTCATAGGATGATAGATCTCATTAAGAAGAAGTGCAGTGCACAAGAACCGGTACTCTGCATTTCTTATTTTTTGAGTTATGGTCCTTTGTTAATTTTCATACTTAATTTTTGTCCAGGCCATTTCTCCGAAAGTATAAAAGTTATGGACTTGAAACTTCATAGGATGATAGATCTCAATAAGAAAAAGTGCAGTGCATAAGAATTGATACTCTGCATTTCTTATTTTTTGAGTTATTGCCCTTTGTTGATTTTCTTACTTTATTTTTGTCCTGGTCATTTCTCCTCAAGTATGAAAGCTATGGACTTGAAACATCATAGAATGATAGATCTTATTGATAAGAAGTGCAGTGCACAGAAACTGCTGCTCTGCACTTATTATTTTTTTAGTTATTGCCCTTTGTTATTTTTCATACTTCATTTTTGTCCGGCCCATTTCTCCTAAACTACATTGTTCACAAGGCGACACATCCGACTCGCGGAGTTCTAGTTTATTTGAATATTATTACTGACAAAGGATAATCAGTAATTGTCGGGAGGCATTTTTTCATGCATGCAAACGCATTAATTGAGTTATATTTATGTTATATGCATAAAATTAATCAATTAATCATAGTTAATTTTGCATTATCGAGTAACTTATTAATTAATTGTTATTAATCAATGAATACAGGATTGTTTTTACTGAAAGTAGTTATGGTAATCACTTATTCAATTTATTGTGTTGTATACATACAATTAATTGTGAATTGCTTTTATACTTTATCAATTACTTGTATTGTATATAGATTGTTGATCGTGGCTTACTTTTCTTCTAAATTAATTTATTGTATTATATATAAATATATACAGTTGATTGTGAATTTTATTTTTTTACTTTATCAATTACTTGTATTGTATACATACAGTTAATAGATAATTTCTGTTATACCTTATCAATATATCATGTTGTTTACGTAGTTCATAATGTAATTTCTTATGTTGCATACACACAATTAATTTGCGAATTACTTTTGTACTTAAAGTGAATTGGTCTATCATGAAAGATCTTTATTACAATAATAAATTAGGTTGTTAGCATTAAATGTCAGACATAACAATTAACCATGAAACAAGTATATATGAATGTTGTTGTCAAGTATGAGAAACATAACTCGATATAACATATTTATATGTAGCAGATTTAATATTAAAATGTGTAAGAACACAGTCCTATTATTCATCATGTAAATGTTCATGTTTATACTAAATCACTAAGAACTTTATCAATATTTTTTTCTTCAAGTAATATTTTATAAGAAATTCCAGATAATAAAATTTTCATAAAATTTGTCAATATTTGAAATTTCTTTTGGAAAAAGTGCCCATTGTAAACCAATCCACTTTAACTATCTATTATGTTAATTGTGAATAAATTTGATGCTTTATCAATTTATTTCATTGTATATATAGAGGATATTGAATGAGTGTAGGTTCAATACTAAATTTATTGAATGATTTTAATAAAATCATATCATGCCAGCCTCTGGCCAGCATAATACTGTTTTATTCAACGAGTTCAATAAATTTAGAATTGAATCTACACAAATATAATATTCTATTTATCACATAATATACATAAGACCGGTTTTTGACGTGCCTTATTATAGTGTAACACTAACATTATTGCTTTAACGCAATGTTTATATATAATTCAAATGATGTCACGTCAAAGTGTTATTACACTTAAGTGTAACTAATTTTTATTAAATGGCTTTATTACACTCTGGCACCACGATTTATGTGATAAATACTATTAATTGTGAATTAAATTTGTACCTTATCTTAGTTTATTGCATTGTGTAGAGATATATAAAGTTAACCACTTGTCACATTACAGTGTTGTTGGTTGAAGCCATTATTACCAGCACTTGGAGAAACATGGCCACTTACTGAAACCTCCACTAAATAAAGGTTCCTAAATCTAGCCATATATTATTTGTATAGTACCATGCACAGTGTGGTCCTCACAGTGGTATATGACATTTTAAATCTTTGTAAGCAGCATTTTATGCCTAAATGTATTGGAGAAAATTGTTGATAATATTTTATTTCTTCATCCTCTCTTTATGGTGAAAAACTGTTCCCAACCAAATACAAATAAAATAGATTTCTTTGATATTTTGTCAGATCCAGTTACATGTTAAGTTTGTAATTTGAAAAAAAAGTGTTCGAGTTTGCATACTTTTCACACTTACAATAAAAGAACTGTAAAGATATTAGACAGATTTTCTGATTGAACTTCAACTTCAAATAGACAAATACTTAACCCTTTAACCTGCTGGAACTGGAAACTAGCTGTTGTCACCAGTATAGAGCCAGGTCAGTGTTCACATTTATCACAAGTATAGAGCCAGGTTATTGTTCACATTTGTCACCAGTATAGAGCCAGGTTATTGTTCACATTTGTCACCAGTATAGAGCCAGGTCAGTGTTCACATTTGTCACCAGTATAGAGCCAGGTTATTGTTCACATTTGTCACCAGTATAGAGCCAGGTCAGTGTTCACATTTGTCACCAGTATAGAGCCAGTCAGTGTTCACATTTGTCACAGTATAGAGCCGCGGTCAGTGTTCACATTTGTCACCAGTATAGAGCCAGGTCAGTGTTCACATTTGTCACCAGTATAGAGCCAGGTCAGTGTTCACATTTGTCACCAGTATAGAGCCAGGTCAGTGTTCACATTTGTCACCAGTATAGAGCCAGGTCAGTGTTCACATTTGTCACCAGTATAGAGCCAGGTCAGTGTTCACATTTGTCACCAGTATAGAGCCAGGTCAGTGTTCACATTTGTCACCAGTATAGAGCCAGGTCAGTTTCACATTTGTCACTAGTATAGAGCCAGGTCAGTGTTCACATTTGTCACCAGTATAGAGCCAGGTCAGTGTTCACATTTGTCACCTGTATAGAGCCAGGTCAGTGTTCACATTTGTCACCAGTATAGAGCCAGGTCAGTGTTCACATTTGTCACCAGTATAGAGCCAGGTCAGTGTTCACATTTGTCACCAGTATAGAGCCAGGCCAGTGTTCACATTTGTCACCAGTATAGAGCCAGGTCAGTGTTCACATTTGTGCAGTTTGACCTGAGGCTGATCAACTATTTTCATATTGATAATGAACAGTTTCAAAAATGGAAGGTTTACAAGTCCATTTTAAGAAATTCAGCAGGACTAAAATCAGTAGCATCTATAATAAGTAGGGAATGGTTTAACTCCTAGCATGCACCATTGATGAAGAAATGAAATAATGATAGCAGTTTCTGTCTTCATATCAAGGCATTATTAACGCTGCTTGCTAAACCTATAAAATGACCACATATTCCACATGAAGGCCACATTGATACATTCATCTCCTAGTTCCATATACATGCTATTGGCTGCTGGTGGTTATGGTTGACTAATCTGTCGTTACTAATTACCGGACATTTAGTTGTTTATTGAATGACATAGATAGTTTTGTTTTGTTACATACCAGTATATATTAATTATATTGAATGCGTACAACCTAGTTTGATACTTTGAATGATGAATATTATTACTTAAAGCAATACATTTTATCGTGTTTTTATGTCCCGGGGCATATAGTAATTGAATCAATTGTCTGTCTGTCCGTACAAGGTTAATCTAAAAAGGCAAGGAATATTTCGTCAAATAGCAATGACATGCCAACTTATATTTTTTCAGATTAACAAAACGTCATGACTCTTTTAATGTCAAATTATATAACTGTATTTACAATTTTTTGGGCAATTATTCTGTTCATAACTGAATTTTTTGAAAAATTGTTCCTGACAAGAATCTGGGGAGGAGGTGTTGTGTTTATCAACTTGTCCTTGTTTTAATATTTAAATGAAATGCTGCAACCTAAGTCTTTTCTTGCTGATGTTTCAATTGGATCACTAGCCACTTACTCCTTAAAATGTGTTGGGAAAGGATATGTTGTAGTATTTTAAATTTAGAAGCTATTTAGGTAGCATATAGAAATAATACCTTATGTGATCTTCCTGCAGCAAAACTTGAAAGTTGCCTCATGATCTCATGGTCCTAATACATGTAGTGTTTGGATAATATAAAGCATTAAAAAAATCTATCAGAGTATCAAGGACATGTTATAAGTGCGTTGGTGCTCAGAGATAAATTCTCAATAATGTAATTATCTCAGGCCTATTATACTGATAGCCATTTATAACCCATCTGTCAAGTTCTTTGTTTCACTCTTGCACATTGTGAAAAAAAATCATTTATGTTCTCTTGCAATAAAAACTGTCTCAGATTCCTTAAAATGTTGGTCATTATTTATTGATCTCCTATATATAAAAATTATTTTATACACTCATAGTAAGAAAATAATGCTATGATAATGATTTGTAGAATATGGAAGAAATGTCTTGAACTTCTTGAGGTTTTAAATCTGGAATAATGAAAGGTCTAAACATTTCACAAAAAAATGATAGATAAAGCAATAATAACTAATCAGTTATGACAGAGGAACTTATTTGAGCAATAAAATGTTTTAAAAACACTCTTGTATCAATACATTTTTTTTGTTTGCATTCAAGACGAGGGTTATTTTTTTTTTATTAAGGGAAGGATGTGCTGTGATAACTATTGTTTTTATAGCATAAAATAGTATGCAAAAATAAAATATTCTTTTGCTACATTTATATTCTAGTATGTTGATCATTAACTTCGAGCATGATATTTTATGGTACTTGTTTTTTCAAAGGTGAGCTTTTATTATTTGAAGGTGTAAAATGCAATGGATTAAACAGGCTTGCTTTTACTATTTATGACGGCAATGAGGGGAGGGGAAGTAGTAATGTTGTTTTCACATATTTGGTTGATGAACAGGATACATGATCAATTTAAATATATAAAAGGAATGAATTCCATATAAAATATTTATCTTTGAAACAGTGAAGTATATGTACAGGCTTTTGGAAGGGATTCTTATCAACAGGGTTTCTGCCAATACCGCAAATTGCAAAAAATTATTTGGAAATGGCGGGGGGGAAAGAAAGAAAAAGAGAGAATATTTTCACTGCTAAATGCGTATCTGTACAACTGAGAAGTTGCCATTTGAAATGGCCATTATCATACCAGTAGATATAATATTATAAAGACAAATGAAATTAATTTTTTGTTTACAGTGTATCTGGAAGACACCTTTTATACCATATCTAGGAGAATATTTCCCACTAACAGCATCTTCCTCATAGATATAAGGTTCTTATCTTGTGGTTTGGATATTGTATGATACACAAACTTATAATACTTCTGGTTACTGTAATCTGAAAAAAAAAATACTGGTTAGGGGCTTGATTTAAATGAAATTTAAATGAAAAGAAATAACAGAAAATTTAATTCCAGTTTTACCAAAGTTCACTTTATACATTCATAACCAGAAGTATATTACAGTATAGTATCAGAGTAACAAATTCTTTGTGCATGTTGTATATTTGATTTTGTTTTTGATATGAGGGCTGTCCCACATAGTCGTGGACAATGGCTGTTAAATATAAAATTTTAAGCCGAAACCTATGATAATCTTGCACAAGATTGAAGTGTATCTCCATTAATTTGTAGTAAAATAAGAAACACTATTTCAAGAAATGGTACATACAGCAGATGATAAAGTAATTATAAAGACCTGAAGTGTGCGATGCAGCCCATGCCAAAAATCATTATTTTACAGTATCTTCAAAACCGAATAAGTTGTCAATAAAATACAAAATCTGCCCAATGTTATGACGCTGACATTTTATGAATGTCTGATGTTATATGGCAAAATTTCAAAGAAATCACAAAACAAATATGTTTACAGTGCATGTTTTACTTCATACTGTGCCCATATGAGCACAATAAAAATTGTGACTTTTGACACTGACACAGCCCAGCAGAGGGTTATCTATATCTGCTTTTAGTGTTGAATAACACCAGTCCTATGATCATCTTATTAAAAGTTAAAAACTATTTGATGATATCATGCTGGGTATTCTTTTGCATGGTCACTCACACTCAGCAATTGTGTATTAACTGGTAAAAAAAATGTTAGAAGCTTATTGAGTATTATGTATTTCAACACTGTTGTCAATGACTTACTGGGACAGCCCTTGTATTTGGCATACATATGACATTTTTCTTTACATGTTTAGTTGATTCAAAAGAATTTTCAGTCACAGTAATTTGTTAATATGTTGGTCTTTATTTGTCCATTTTATATGATTCACATGAATCTAAAGACCTTCTCCAAATTAGATTTTATTTAATTTTTAATTTTAATTTCTTTTCTATTTCTTTTATATTTTTATTTTAATTCTTCTGGTCTTGTGTCCAACACCATGTCCTATTGGTTTGTAATTCTACATTTTTTGTGTCCAATATTAGGCTGTTAATTTGGTTGTCAATCCATGTGATATATAAAATGTGTATTTATCAAAGCCTTAAATATAAAAAATTTCCACAAATTACTGTGAGTAAAGTTCAGTAATGTTTGATATCAGGTTTTATAACCACTCTTTATTTCTGTAATGTTGATTTTCCATTATAAGGCCAATGAAAGTTTTATTCTGACTGTTAATTCGAGTGTACCATAAGACTAAAAATTTTGTACTGTTACATTGGTAAAAAATAAAATCTTATATGAAGTATTTGTTTGGGGCAATAAAATAAATAACACATACGTTTAAGAGTAACAGCAGATTTAATATCATCCCTCCTAATGTTTTGGGTACCAGTATTTTCCTTGGGATGATATTTTTACTGTTACTTAAAAACCTATGTGTTATATAATAGAATTCTGGTTAAAGGTGCTCATTTATTTAATTATTTATTTATTGTTTTGTTTTATTGTTTTTCTAAAAATTCATTGTTTAATTGGTTGTCAGAATGATTTCTATTGTGTATAACTAATACTCTTTCGTGAAGTAATTTTATTGTATATATGACATGTCTGTTTTAAATTGAGAAATTTAGACTGGAGACCCTATCACCTTATATAGTTTTATCTGCAGAGGGTTATTATGGAAAAAGTTATTTGTCATCTTTTATTTGATAATATATTAAATATCACTACTACATTAACTTAAAGCTAGAAATGTAAAGTAATTATTACAAATTATAGACACAATATCCATTTTAACCAGCATGCTATTATAATCCTTAATGTAAATATAGTAAGTTATACTCATATAAAATATTTTTATGTATATTTTACAGTGCCTGCCATGTTTACGTCAGACTGGACCATATCGGACATTTGATGATACAGATTATTTGACAAATGATACAGTGATGATGAATACCAGTAATGATCACATCGAAGATACCATGTCTTGATTAAACAAGTTTACACTTACCAGTCACAACTGCTTTAGTGCAATTATAAAGCTACATGTGTTCTAGTTGTGAATGCCTTAAACCAAGGTTAAACATACTTGTTATAACTGCATTAACTGTTATATACCAGTCATAGCTGCATTTACTGTTATATACCAGTCATAACTGCATTTACTGTTATATACCGGTTATAGCTGCATTAACTGTTATATACCGGTCATAACTGCATTTACTGTTATATACCAGTTATAACTGCATTAACTGTTATATACCAGTCATAACTGCATTTACTGTTATATACCAGTCATAACTGCATTTACTGTTTATATAACCGGTTATAGCTGCATTAACTGTTATATACCGTCTATAACTGCATTTACTGTTATATACTAGTTATAACTGCATTAACTGTTATATACCAGTCATAACTGCATTTACTGTTATATACCAGTCATAACTGCATTTACTGTTATATACCGGTTATAGCTGCATTAACTGTTATATACCGGTCATAACTGCATTTACTGTTATATACCAGTTATAACTGCATTAACTGTTATATACCGGTCATAGCTGCATTTACTGTTATATACCAGTCATAACTGCATTTACTGTTATATACCGGTTATAGCTGCATTAACTGTTATATACCGGTCATAACTGCATTTACTGTTATATACCAGTCATAACTGCATTTACTGTTATATATACCAGTAGTGATGGAAATCGGATGAAATTTGTCCCAATCGATCATCGGTTCAATCGGATGGGACATAATCGATAACTTTCCGATTAAAGTTGCGTTAAAAATAAATGGGGAAGAAGCATTTTTTCCCAAGGCACTTGATTATATTCAGTAACATGAACTTCATTTAGCACTTTTCAACACAGTTTTAACCCTATCATTTAGTTATTATTTCACGAAATAGATTTAATTTTCCAATGGATGTCAAATAATAACATTCACATCACATTATATTTCTATTGTGATCCTATTCAACTCCAAATTGTCTCTGAGATAATTTTTTTGCGATCGGCGAGGTGTTCCTAAAAGAAAATTACCGTCAGAATTAATTCGTTTTGATACTTTAAACATTTTTGACGACGTCGCAGAACAATTTTTTGTGAATCGATTATTGTCGCTTTACATAACAGTAACTGATTATCAGCGACTTGCGACAATCGGAACATCACTATATACCAGTCATAACTGCATTTACTGTTATATATACCAGTCATAGCTGCATTTACTGTTATATATACCAGTCATAACTGCATTTACTGTTATATATACCAGTCATAGCTGCATTTACTGTTATATACCAGTCATAACTGCATTTACTGTTATATATACCAGTCATAACTGCATTTACTGTTATATATACCAGTCCTAGCTGCATTTACTGTTATATATACCAGTCATAGCTGCATTTACTGTTATATATACCAGTCATAGCTGCATTTACTGTTATATATACCAGTCATAACTGCATTTACTGTTATATATACCAGTCATACAATGTGGCCATACCACGTGACTTTTCGGGTACGGAACACGCCGATTTTTCATCCGATTCAGGTATGTTTTTTATTCATAACTTATTTATTACTCAACCGATTTTGATCAGATAAGGCGCAGAGTACCCGTAATTATATTAGCTATCTATGGTATATCAAAATTCTGAAAACCCCTGAATGGTTTTTTCGAACATTCGAGTACAGTTTTCTTTTCATAGCCTGGGCCGAGGGGAACGGTACACACTCATTTGTCATAACAAGCAATTTCTAACAAATCATATGTTTTTTGACACTATTTCATAGAAAAATACATGTTAAATCTAATATATTTACTATGTCCAATGTATCGAGTGAATGCAGTGATGTTTTAGCATATTTTCATAAAGTTATGTTGAAATGGTACGGAACACACTGTTATTTCAAAAGATACGGCACACACACAATTTCTGTCTTTGTAATAATTCTAAAATAAAATATATTAAAATTTAATTTCAATTATAATGTGAGTGATTTTTTTCATAGTTATACATTTTATTAATCTAAAAGAGAACCCAGGGACCTGTTTTGCAATGTATCATAATGCTTACTTTTAATGTTTTATGTATTTGTGCACTATATTTCAAGAGATCACGCTTAACATTTACAACCTCCATGTAATTGTCCTATTTAAAAATCACCTAGGGTATGTTAAACACTTCGATCTTCACAGAATCAGGTAGTTGCGCTATATAGAAATAAAATGTTGTTATATAATGCTGTGTTTATTGTTGTTTATTGTTGTTTTTTATTTCTTTTAGTTTAAGTGAAGTAAGATATGTCTTTTTGCTTCATCCTGAAAAAATAAAACAAGGTCATGACCTAAATCGCTGAAAAGTATCATTACTTGATAACAAGTTATATATATTTATATTTTGTTAATAATAAGCAAGTCATTAGGTACAATTTTTGCAATATCATGGTCATTTTTAATTAAATCAAATCACAGAAGGCGCTGAATTTGTTTTGAGTCTCAGAATGTCAGAAAGGTGAAGGCTGTGAGATTGTAAACCAATTTGTTTTTGTATAGTGCCACCATGTTGTTTATAGTGTCATAACTGTAGTAAAAATTGGCTATAAGGCTTATTGCAACACTGATATGTAATTCATTGTTTATTTGGCTTAAACAATTAAAAAAAAACAAAAAACAAAAAAAAACATGAGTTGCCTTAACTTGGATTTGAACTCAGGACATCTCTCTTCCTAAACGAGCGTGTAACCCCTTGACCACGGGGAAGTTATAAGATAACAGCCTGAAGAAAAACCATATCATTCTAAATTAGGGTTTGTAACCATTATTAATTTCGTTTGACACTGATGTAAATAATCATGGAGCTTAATATTACATGTATATCTTTAAAGAATTACACAATATTTGAAATCTTTGACCAATCGGGAACTACTTTTTCTTCTCCCGAGAAGGCTTGAAAATTAATGCGCCCGTCATTTTACAATCTTAACACAGTGACGCCCCCCTTATTTTTTTCAGCGTTAGAGTACATATAAAGGTAAGTAACCGCTTCCAGGGGTTCGGACTACTTTCTTATTTTGCAAATAAGCATATCAGAGCCTGAAATTTCGCTACCATTATTTGTTTGGTCTGACGACCCAAACAAATAAAAATGTAGTCGCCATTGCTTAAATTTTTAATGTTTAAAGGCATGAAGCTTTAAAAATAACTTTTGATTCATGTAATTAGGTAATTATTGGTTTGGTTTCACGGCTCATAAAACTGATATTATCATGTGGCGACTTTCGAGTTTTACAAGTGCCCCTTTGGGTATAAATAAAGGAACGAACGGGCACCTGAGTAAAACGACCGACATTCTGTACGGTAGTAAGAAAACTTTCTCACATAAAAAATCGAAACATCGAAGTCACTTGTGGTCTCGTACCTACTTCATGTAGTATATAAAACAGAACGCAGCCTCCAAAATCCATAGCATTTGATTGACAAAATGGGTATTATTAAAATATCATTTTATTTTTAACACAAACACGCAAGCACACATATCCATGAACTCAAGTGTTAAATGCATCTTGAAATGAAAGTCCAAGATAATTTTACCAAATTTCCTAACATGTATATCCTTACATGTATATGCAACAAGGTTACCTTGTATAAACTACGTTACGTTATATAACAGGCCTGGCCTTGTTCCCATATGGGTTCTTCAAATTATCAAATTTTAATTTTAATTGCACGTAAAACTGCGAAATATATTTGTCCATATGTAGATAATTTGATAATTTAGATACATGCAGTTAGTTTGGGACCCTGGCAGATGATTCATACCAAATATCATGTGGCCGAAAAAAACTTTTAACTTTCCGTGATTTAAAAAAATCCACTTACATCAAAACCAGCGTTTTTTCCTCCAAATTCGATTATTTAAACAACATTTTGCAAGGAACATATATTTCCAACTTACTCCTAACTTCTTGTTGTTTATATATTCATACTACGTTTAGACAGTCATTATATATTCGAACAAACAAATTAAATGAAATAATAATCGCACATAACAGATGTCCATGCATTTCATAATTCGTTTTATAATCCAAAAGAATATACATAATTGTTTCAAATGAAAATCAAAACAAAACAAAATTTTGAATGTCTTCCGTATCCCTGCATAAAATTTTAACATTTTATAGTTGCTCAACATATAAAATCGAATTTTGCGCAACGCACTCTCAAAATGTTCTTTTATGTTTTGAATAATCCTGTTTACATCAAATTGTAGGCATAATGATACTTTGCAAAACAGGTCCCAGGGTTCTCGTTTAAATTAATAAAATGTATAACTATGAAAAAAATCAGTCACATTATAATTTAAATTAATTTTTATATATTTTTTATTTTTGAATTGTTTCAAAGACAGAAATTGTGTGTGTACCGTATCTTTTGAAATAACAGTGTGTTCCGTATCATTTCAACATCACTTTATGAAAATATGCTAAAACATGACTGCATTCACTCGATACGTTGGACATAGTAAATATATCAGATTTAACATGTATTTTTCTATGAAATAGTGTCAAAAAACATATGACTTGCTAGAAATCGCCTGTTATGCCAAATGAGTGTGTACCGTGCCCCTCGGCCCAGGCTATGAAAAGAAAACTGTACTCGAATGTTCTCAAAAACCATTCAGGGGTTTTCAGAATTTTGATATACCGTGGATAACTGATATAATTACGGGTACTCTGCGCCTTATCTGATCAAAATCGGTTGAGTAATAAATAAGTTATGAATAAAAAACATACCTGAATCGGGAGAAAAATCGGCGTGTTCCGTACCCGAAAAGTCACGTGGTATGGCCACATTGTCATAGCTGCATTTACTGTTATATACCAGTCATAGCTGCATTTACTGTTATATACCAGTCATAGCTGCATTTACTGTTATATACCAGTCATAACTGCATTTACTGTTATATACCAGTCATAACTTAAGCAATATCTAACATGCTCAGTCATGTCAGTATTAATTTTAGCATTACCAGTCCATGTAACATTCCAAGTCAAGCTTTCATGTACAATATTATACAATAATTTAACTAGTCAGTGTGTTAGATATTAGATGGATTAACATATTTTGTTTTTCTCAGGCTTATCATACAGATATCTGATATTATAACCCCTCACTATTTTTGTAATGT